GACCATTCAAGGTCGTGGCCAGGAAGGGCCTAGCGTACAAGCTTAATCTTCCGAAGAAGATGCGCACCGACCCGGTGTTTACGTGGGCTTGCTCATGCCGTACCAGGACCCGGCTCGTGTGAGCGCCCAGTCACGGGCGCCGAATCGGCAGAGAGCGGCTAGGCCGCGTGCGCCTGCGGGACAGCAAGTGGTGGAACCATGGGGAGTTGGTCAATAGCATGTGGCAAAGCCACAGATCGCGGAGCGAAATGCTCAAGATGCAGGAGCAAGTCAAGCTGAAGATACAGCTGAGCAAATTAGTGCTCAAGGTCCGGGACCTGTTTGTGAATCAACAATGGGAGTACCAATAGTCCACGGGGTGGAACATCTCTTCGAAACCAACCGCTTCGCAATGAACGTGGTCGTTTGCGTCAGGGACGCATGCGTCGTGAGGATGCAGACGCCGTTCCGGCGAGTGCAGATTCGCAGCGCGGGAATCCAGCTGAGGCACGGCCTCCTCCAGCTCTGCTCGACGAGCGCGGTGAGCCCCATTATCATGTGGAACGCCTTGTGGCGCGGCGTCGTCACCGGGGTCATACCCAGTACCTAGTGAAGTGGAGAGGATATCCACATTCACAGAACTCATGGGAGTTCGAGGTGCCCCTCCGTGAGAACTGCCCTGACGTCGTTGACGCCTATGACGTGGCACACCCACTGCCAATACGTCACATGGGCTTGCGACTGCGTCGCGAAGCGCCAAGCGCTTCCAGCCAGTAGTGCGGGGTTTCTACAGGTCGGTAGCTGAGCTCAGACTCTGACCTGTGGCAGCTCAAGTATGAGCATCGGTGTTCGCAGCGGGAGAAGGAGGCAGGTGTGCCTCGTGGTGTTGGGAACATGGTCCCGATGGAAGCGGATTCTTCGTGTTGTGTTGGACGAAGTCCATGTACAAGCGTCCTGATTGACGCGAATTTGTTTCGAAGAAACTTGCTCAAAAGAGCATTATCCAAGGTTGGAATTGCGCTGGTGCAGCGAAGGTGGTGTGTCCCGGACGGGATCGAACCACCAACCCTTGGCTTTCAAAGTCAACGCTCTACCATTGAGCTACGAAGGCAATGCCTGTAACCTTGCCGGTGTACGGACTATCGCTCATAGTATGAGAGGGCTGTGCCCGGGTGGAATTGAACCACCGACCTGTGGCTTTCAAAGCCAACGCTCGACCATTGAGCTAGGTGGGCGCTGCCCGTGGATATGAGCGAGTCCAAAACCTTTGTCAAGGTATGTGGACTGTGTACTCGAGGGTGGTATCGAACCTCAGGCTTTTCAAGCGAGCGCTCCACCACTGAGCTATATGGTCGGAGCCCAAGGTTCTGATGAACATGGAGCTCCAGGCTCTTGAGCTTGGCTCACATCAGGTTGGCAGCTCATTGAGCGTATGCCATGTTGGCAGCGTGGTGCCCGGCCACGAAGGTATGTGCGGCAGCTCTCGGAGCA